CTGGAGATTTAGTTTTCCCCTTTTGCCAAACCTACTGATTCCTTTGAAAAGAGTGCCTTAAAGAACACCCGATCTCCTTTCTCAAATTCTAAATCCCTCCTCGGGGTGTCCGCATAACTCTTCTGCTTGCTCTGAGCCGTCTAAATATTTTTCCTTATCTTACTATTTTAGCTGTAGTTTTCTTTATAAGATCTAGTCCGAACAATTTTCTATCAACCACTTCTTTCCAACAGATCGGCAATCTACATGGATGGCCATACAACGCCTCGTACGGAGCCATGCCGATACTTGCTTGGTAGCTGTTATTGTAGGCGAACTCTATTAGTTGTAAATGATCATCCCAATAGTCCCCGAAGTCAAAAACATAAGCTCGAAATATATCCTCCAGTGTGCGGATCATCCTTTCTGATTGTCCATTGGTCTAAGGGTGGAATGCAGTACTAAGGGACAGTTTCGTTCTTATAATTTGTTGAAAAGTAGACCAGAACTAATAAGTGAACCTGGGGTCCCTGTCGGACACTGTCGTCCTTTCTTGCTAACTTGTCCAAGGGGTTGGTCATCCTGATGGCCGAGAAGTGGGAAGACTTGGGGAATCGGTCAACAATTACCCAAATGACATCATGTCCTGAGCGTGCCCTAGGAAATCCTGTCACGAAATTCATTGTGATATGTTCCCACTTCTACTCTGGGATTGGTAATGGCTAAAGTAACCTGCCTGAGCGTTAATGCTCTGCCTTAACTTGCTGACATACTAAATACTTAGAAACAAAGTTGGTCACATCTCTTTTTATCCCGTTCTACCAAAATCGGAGTCACATACTTTGATATATCTTAGTGCTTTCGAGATGCATGACAAACTTTAAGCTATGGGCATCTGTCATGATATCTCTTTTCAGTTCATTATCACATAGAACACACGTCATGTCTTGAAATCTAAGCAACCCATCAGTAGAGACTCAAAATTCTGAATTAACTCCCTTTGCTACATCTTTCTTGAGGGCTGTTAGGGTGGAATCGACGGATTGGGCTTCCTTTATTCTCTGGATCAACTCAGGTTGAACAGTCAGGTGAGCCAAACATGTGACTCTCTTCAGGTCCTGAAGTCGTACCTGTTTGTGTGGTCCCTATTACCCTACATTCTGAAACCATTAGATGAGCTAATATACCTGCACTTTTTCTACTGAGTGCGTTGGCTACCACGTTGCCCTTACCCGGGTGATACAAGATGTTGCAATCGTAGTCCTTGAGTAGTTCTATTCATTTTTTCTAACGCATG